TGGGATTCTTAGGAGGGTCCCTTAACGTCACCAGATCCAATCTTAATAGGTGTTGTAAAGCTTGAGACAACGGCATGTTGAGCTTGGTAAATTGCCTCTAGTCAACCTGTTGCTTTTGGTGAGGTTGTTGTTGGACCCTTGAGGTAGTAGCAACTTGGAGAGGTCCATTCTTTACCAAGCCAAACCCTTGTCTTCTTGGAGGCTGATCAATGACTTGACCACCAACCTTGACTGTTTGCTTCATGTTGTTGTATCTGTCTTGATGAAGCCGGTTGATCATGGCTCTCAGCTCTTCTTGTTCCCGAGCTAAGCCTTGGATAAGAGCCATCTGCCCTAGCATCTGGGTTCTCAATGCATCTACCTCAGCTTGCAGATGTTTCATCCGTTCGTCCTTATTGTCTTCAGGACTTTTCTTTACCAAGTTCCTCATGAGGAGTGTTCTCAACTCTTCCTGCCCCTTGGATAGGTTTAGGAAGATTTCCCTGAACTGAGTCTCTTGAGTATGAAGATTCTGGTTGTCTTGTGGGAAAGCCATTGCTGAAATAAACAGCGAGAACATGAGATACCTGTATTGGGAGACCTGTTATGGAATGATATGTATGATATATGTATGCAATGTTTTCAAGGATCTCGCGGGGTAAACAAGAAACTTGTTAGAATTTGCATCTGGTAGCTTGATTGAAGGAACTTCATGTTGCTGAGAGTCCTTCTTCAAGAGTCAAGCTCACCATATCGAGTGGGTCATCGCCCCTGACTCAAATTGTCGTGCTTGGATTTCTAGACAACCTTGGCTAGAGGAAAATAAATCCCCTTTGCCCCTTGCTAGCCATTTGATTTACCATAACCTGCATCATAGACCCTTGAGATCCTTAAAATGGTTAAAGAAATGTTAAGGCATGATGTTATGATGTGTATGCTATGCGTTTAAGCAAAAGTGTGAAGTGGTGTAAGTAAACCCTGCAATAAATCCAAGTTATTGGATAAGGACTATAAACAAAACCTGCAAGGAACTCATGTTGTCAGATAACAAGAATGTGCAAGTAGTTCAAGTTTGAAGGCACACAAGTCACAAAAACAGCCTTAAGTTTAGGCTGGCATGGAGTTTCATAGGTAAGTACCCTCTTGAGTGTAGTTGGCTCAAAAACCTGTCCTATAAATAGTAATCGGGTTCTAAGGAGCTCAATATCATTGGATTGTTTTCTATGTTCATCGTTTTGGTTTAGCCAATGAACTAGCGACCAAAATATTCCAAGAAAACAATCCTCAATGAGTGTAGTATCGAGTATCTACCAACTTCGGACTGCACCAAAGTCGGTCATCTCACTACCCCTAAAAAAGGCCAAGATGGTCAAGTAAGGTTCTAAGGTCAATTGATGTTTCACGACACCACGCGGCGGCCCCGTACTCTCCTTGACTTAACTCAAGGGTTACCGATACTCACCAAAGTGCCACATCAATGTAGCTACTGTTTCAACCATGTCGGTATACCCCACACAGTTCCCTCATAGTTTGTTGCTACTTACCTAAAGGGTATCCCCAGATCCAGGTTAGGATCTATAGAACTCCGATACAAACCCATAAAATTTAAAGCATACAAAGCATACAATTGAAAACACAAGTGATCTAATCCTAAGGTACACCTCACTTATAAATATCCCCAGCAGAGTCGCCAGTTCTGTGATCGGTGGGAACGAGAACTGACTGTTTTTGGAATGCTGGTTCGCGTTTGCGTTTGTTTTCGCAAAGTGTCGCGGTAAGCAAGAGTCGCCACTGTCTTTTATTTTATCCAACAAGGGAAAGGACAAAAGCATAGAAAAATTCCTTTTCGAGATGTTTCTCGGGTTCGGGCGGTAGATTATAGAAAGAGAAGGTGTTAGCACCCTTTCTATCCGTGGTTATCCACAAGCTCTTAGGTACTTGCTCACTATGTTTTCAAAAGGTTTGCTTTTCTTTGTGATTGTGGGTTTTGAAAAGAATTTTGTTTTTGAAGAAAGTGTAAGTGCGAAAAGTTTTTGTTTTGTTTTTAAAAGAGAGCAAGTACTTAAGAACCTCTACCTACTCAAAAAGGAATTTAATTGTGCAAATGTCCTTTAGACAGTACTATCCTACTATTGAGGAGTAGGTACCACCATCGTTGGAGTTTTCGGGTCAATTCGATTTTAGGGACGTGTGGTCACTAAAGCAACGTTAGGACGCTTTAGTGGTAATCCTAATGTCTTAGATCATTTTTATCGAGGCGACCATTTCGAGGCAACTTATGATCTTTGGACAAAGGACGACCTCTAAAACATCATATACTTAATGACCACGTTCGAGGCAACCAAGTGAGGTGTACCCTAAGAGTGGCATGTGCAAGTGTGTCAATTTTCAGTTATTTTACTCTTGCATGTCATGGTGAGCTATTGTTGATTTTAAGTTAAGAGTTAATCTTGTCATGCAATCCTAGTTAGCATACATCTAAGCAATTAATATATGCACAGGAATTTAAAGTGCGGGAATTGTAAATCCTACGCTATTACAAGGCTTTCGGGGAGGGGGATTATTTACATATCCAAAAATTGGGGAAATAAAAGCAGTAAAGGGTCTTAGTTAAGCTATTACATCCCAGTAGGCAATTACAATAAAATAAATGCGCACGAATCTGAAAATAAACTCTAAAAATCCTAAGAACGAAATCTTTTTATTGTTTTATTTTATTTTGGGAAAATGATCTAAATCTATTTAATTTTAGTTTTTTTTTTGAGAAAATGTTAAGATAATTAAGAGATTAATTAACAAAGTTAATTTTAATAGAAAAAACTAGCCTAATGTTCTTTGTGTTTTTTTATTTTATTTTAATGTTAATTAAAAAAAAGATAAAAAGATGTCAATGAAAACAAAAATAAAATACAAGGGGGGGATCCTTCGATCCAGGGAAAAAAGGAGTTTCGACCCAGGGAGGGAAATGGTCCTTTCGATTGGGCCAGACAATAAGGCGTGAGTAGCCTTCGATCCAGGGAAGAGAATTGTCTTTCGATCATGGAGGTCATGGCTTTCGATCCAGGAATGAGATGCCTCCTTCGATCCAGCATGCTAACGGGTTCGATCTAGAGAAGGACTCTCCTTCGATCTGGGATGTTATACCTGCAAAAGCATGTTAGCGAAATAAAATGCAGGGCCTGGGTATTGAACCCCAGGCCCTTCGATCCTGCGCTTGCTGGGTTTCTTCAGGCTATGTCTGCAGCAAATATTAGCAAATGATGGACATGGCCTGGGTGCCAAACCCAGGCCCTTTGATCCTGTCTAGGATGGCAAATCGAAAGTAACAACGAGTAATGATATGTTATGCGAAAAACAATGTTGGATAATTTACCCTTTCTTACCAACAGATTGGACTTTCGATTTGGGCGCTTCCTGGATGTAGGCACCTTCGATCTGGGCTTCTGGGCTTGGCTACTTATGAAAATGCTGATGACTTTTGGGCAGCGTAACTCCAATGTCTTTTGTTCTCCTGTTGTGTGATTTTCGTTGTGTATTCTCCTGTAGAGTTTTTGTGTGTGTTGTATATTTTCGTGTGTATATTTTCTCCCTTGGTAATGTATGCTGGCCTCTGTATTTATAGGGGTGTGAGGGTGAAGTAATGGCAAGGGACAGCCATTAAACAGGCCATTAAAGCCATGAGACAAGAATAAGACACATTAAATAATTTCCTTTTTTGAAACATTCGTGTCCCTTGAATGAACCTGGACGCTTTTGGATTTCGAATGCTTTCAGGCCATGCTCTTCGATTAGTCCTGATTTGCCTCTTTCGAATGGGCTCCCTGCGTACCCTTCGAATGGGCCTGGCCCAAATATCAATCGAAGGATTCCAATCGAAAGGCTCTGCTAACAGGTCAATCAAAAGGTGTTGTTCATGCCAATCGAAGGACATGGTTGACATGCCTGTCGAAATTGCCTTGACATAATTCCAATCGAATGCTTGTCCATAATGCCAATCGAAAGACTCCTTCAGAATTTCAATCGAAGGGTCTTTCAGGATGCCAATCGAAATGCTTGTCCAAAATGTCAATCGAAGTGTCTTTCAGGATGCCAATCGAAAGGTACTTAAAGTACCACTCAAAAATATTCTTTTTCCTTAGGCAAGAGTTTGTGATCAACCATGCAGGGGGAAGACTTTGGAAAACATGAGAGGGCAAATTTTGGAGTGCAACAGCGTCTCTACTTGATGTCTGATTCGGTGTTGTTCGATTGGATTTACTTTAGTTTTAATCCAGTTTAGACATTTTTGCACTGAAGGAGATCTCAGATTCCAATAGTTGTTGATCTGGTAGTTAATATGGAAGATCTTGTTAAAGTGGAGAATGCAGATCCCATAATATGGAGGATATTTGTATGTCTTTTTCTCTGGGTCGATTTAGAAGAGATAAAAGAGAGTTGTAGCATTATCAATATAATGAAACTCGGAAGAATTGATGTTTACCATATTTGGCAATTTTTTGAGTTCTGGATCATAAAAGGAAGAATGGTGCAACTAAAATAGAGGGATTATGGGAGGAATCAACGATCCAATTTACTATGGTCAAGGGGACAATTTCAATGCTCAAACTTTTGAAAATGACATTGCAAGACAATAACTCACACGTGGAAACACTGGATTGAAGGATAGTAATAAAGATGTTGCGGGGAGAGAACCAGTAATTCAGAAAAAAGTAAATTCATGTACTGTTTTTGAGGGAACCGATCGTGCTACTTTTGCTTCTAAAAGCTCTTATATTGATCAGGTTCAAGAGGCCTTTAAGGATCAAATTAGTGACCAAAAAGCTCAAATAATACCAAGGATGCGTACTAAAAATGTTATCATACTTGATAACATAGAAACCATAACGAGAATAATAGGAACTAACAACAACAAAATTTAGGTTACTAAACTTTCTATGAAAAATCTAGCTCATCGCAAGACACCGATAAAAAATAGTAAGCTACAAGAGAAAGAAACACAAGGCTCAAAGGAAACTATAATCATGAAAAGAAGGATTCGTACGGAAGAAGGAACACCACCTAAGTCGAAACTTGATCTCGTGAGAGATGTTGAGGAAGATATTATGCTAATGGACACTGTTGGGGGGAAAAGGTAGTTGCTGGAAATGACACGACCACACAACCTATTTTTATCTCTGATGTCAAATATGTAATGGCAGACACTATTTATCAGGTCTTCCAAGAAAAATGAATGTTATTAGCTAGAGCTGCTTGGGTCTGGGTAACCTGAGTGCAATTCCTAATTCAAAATACATTTGAAGATATAAACCAAATGTATTATTTACATTGAGACAATAAGTAATGCTAATAAAATTGAAGAATTGTGATATATGTTGAGTTTTGATTGTTGTTTTACTATTGATCGAGAAGGTGGGGGATGTGGTGTTGCAGTTCTATGGCAAAATTCTAAGAATTGTTCTATTCAAAGTTATTCTCGTAAACCATTTGATATTATAGTACAAGACACCAGACTAGGTAATGGAGATTCATAGGTTTCTATGGGCATCCCGAAGTACCCACAAGAGGACTTCGTGGTATTTAATCTGAAACGTTTCTGAAAATTCAAACTTACCATGGTGTATATTGGTAGATTTTAATGATATCCTCTCATTAGAGGAAGAAAAGAGAGAGTGGAAAAGCCAAATTGGCTGATTAGTGGATTTAGGCAAGATGTCTAAGACACGAGTTTGATGTTGTTCCTATGGAGGGTACTCTTTTACGCGGTTCAAGAGCCTAGGAACTAATAGAGCAGTTGAAGAAAACTTAGGTAGAGTTATGTCTAATAGTGATTGGTGTATTTTATTCCTATAAGCAAAGGTGAAATGTTTAACAGTTACTACTTCAGATTAATAGCCTATTTTGTTATGTTGTGAAGCGAACTTGATGCATCATAGTCCTCAATTCAGTTTCAAATATGAGAATGCATGGTTAACTGAACTGAGATTTAACAATTTTGTTAATGAACAATGGTAAAAATATGAGAATGATGAAATCGTTGGAAAACTGGAAAAATATGGTGAGAATATGATGAAGTGAAGCAAAGATAATTGTCACAAGATTAGAAAGGAAAACGAGAGTCTTTGTGGTAAGATTAAAAGAATTCGACATCATATGGGAGATGAAACTATTAATTATTTCATAGCTCTTAAAAGACGTATGAACTCACTCTTGATTAAACATGATTTGTTTTGTAAGCAAATAGCAAAAGCCCACCGGTATAAAGATGGAGATCTTAATACTTGATTTTTTTCATATTACAATAACTACTGGGAAGAAAGTTAATATTATCATTTCCATTACAAACGAAAATGGGGAAGTTAGTACTTCAACTGAAGGGATGTGTATAATTGCTCATGATTATTTCAAAAGAAGCCAAGCTCCTGAGATCAAATCTTACATGCTCTTGGAACCTCCATTTCAGATGAGGATAATAATATGTTAACGACACCATTTATTATTGAGGAATTTGTAGAAAATTTTTTTTTGTGAAAGCTGACAAAAGCCCTAGTCTTGACGATTTTAACCCTGGTTTTTATCATCATTTTCGGGAGACGTGTGTAAGAAATTTTCAATGCAAGTTGCTCTTAGCTGGAGACTGGTGTTTTTTCCTCCAAGTCTTAATATGAATAATATCAATCTAATTCCAAAAGGAGATGTTCAAACTTCCATGAAAGATTAGAGACTGATTGCACTGTGTAATGTCATGTATAAAGTGATAGCTAAAGTCCTTGCAAATTGCCTTAAGAGAGTTCTGGATAAGTGTATTTCAGACAAACAAACGACTTTTTTTCCTGGTAGATCTATTATGAATAACACTATGGCAGCTATTGAGGTGGTTCATCATATGAAGTCTAAAAGTAAGGTCGGGATTGGTGATAAAGCTCTTAAACTTGATACAAGGGAAGTTTATGACATGATTGATTGGGGGTTATCTTAATAAGTATGTCCTCGTCACAATGGGTTTCAATCATAGATACATAGGGTGGATCATTCTTTATGAGGAAACAATTTACTACTTTGTGGTAATGAATGGTAATATGGTTGGGCCGATTGCCTTGGTTAAGGGCTGAGGCATGGTGATTGTAACGCCCCATTTGAATATTTAGTCATTATTTATTGACTTTGATTTATTTTGGTATAATTAAGGGTAGGTAGGCATGTATAAGGGTATGTGAGAACTTAATTTTAATTAGAAAACTAGAATAAAACTTAGTCTATGGCGTAATAATAATAATAATATTGGTAAATGATGAAATATACTATAATTATTAATAAAAATATTATTAGATATATGGTATAACACCACTAATAATAATATTATTAGTAATAATATAGTTGTTATAATCATTATTATTATTTATTAAGTAGAATAAAACAATTATTAGAAGAATAGTAGGAATATTTGGGAGAAACTACCGTCACGTAGAAACAGAGAAAGAGAACAGAAAAGCTAGGGGCAGGACAGATTTTACCATTATTGAAGGATCAAAGTTCCAAATTAAGGTAAGTGGGGATAATGAGTTCTCTAAATGGTGATTCTAACATAAGAGGGTAGTGAGGGTTCCTTTCCCTCTTTAGGTTATGTGCAAAATTGATGAATATTCTTCTTTGTTTGGATTTTCTGTTGTTTCTAAGTGATTTTGTGTGGAACTCGTGATTATAATGATGTCATGAATGTATTGTTGTTGTGTTATTGTTCCATGAATCCCAAATCTGGAAAATTATATATCTAAGATGTTAAAAAATTGAGGATTTAGATGTAGGAATTCATTGTATTATGATGGGTTAACGAAATTAGATTGATACTATAAGTTATTATATGTAGAAACACTGCTTTGGACCCAAAATTGGAGGTTGAAAATGCTCAAAACAAGTAGAAAGCAAAGTGGTGCGAATGCAGAAATTTATGGAATAATAGATTGGCCATACACGTATGGTACGTGTATGGGGAACGTTCCCAGGGGCCATACGCATATGGTACTCGCCTTGTCCCCGAGCCAGCACGACCAACTGGCTGAACGCGTATGGTATGCGTATGAGAAGAAGGTCATTCGCGTATGGACTAGCTAATACGCGTATGGAGATATGGGATGAGTTTTGGGGGGAAATTTCACTCTGATTGTACGCGTGTGGTACACGTATGAGGTTGGGTGATAGAGAAAAGCGCGTATGGTACGCATATTGTTGTACCCCAAAATTTTCCCTCTCACTTATCAAGAATTTGCTCACAATATCTCATTGGGTTCAAGACTGCACTAGGATTTGATCAGCTCAAGACACCTCCTTATGCACTGATGACCCAAAATTAGGGTTTGAGTTTGCACAAATATTTTTGAACTATCAATGCTTCATATGGCTTCAATGGATCATTATGGACCCCCAAGATTACTCATGTCAAGTTTCAAGCTTTGGATCACACTTTTGATCAGTCAATTGAACAGTTGACCTAAAAATCAACTATATTGGGGAAAAAGTTAACCATGGCCAATTTACAGTCAAAATTCATAATTTTTGATCCACACCAACATTTTAAACTCATATGTATCATTTGATCAAGTTTGGACCATAATTCCTCAAGAAATTTGATCAAATCATTAAAAGGGCAAAATGGTTAAAATTAGGGTTTTAATTGGGAAAGGGCAATTTCTGGTTTTTGACCTAGCAAATGATCAATTGGGTTAAGGCTTGATCTCAAGAGTCCAATTGCATAACTTTGACCTAATGACATGGTTCAAAACACTACAAGTCCATTGGATTGACAAATGAATTTTTCAATCAACTGATCAAAAGTCAACTGTATACTGAAAAGTCAAATTTTGACTTTTTGGTTAAAATCAAATGCCAAAGATCATAATTCATCAAAACATGTCAAAATATGAAATGTTTTCATCAAGAAATCAAGAATTCAAGATTTTATTTTGAAAAGATGAAATTTCTTAACTTAGAAATTTTTCTAAGTATAGAAAATTTCTTATTTTTTCACAACTTTGAGCCAAATTTTCACCATGATGCAAAATGATTCAAGAGAAACTTCCAACATGAAAGTTGTAGATCTCCATGAAATATACAACTTTTCTTCACACAACTTCTTCCAAAAGTGATTATATCTCAAGTTATAATTATATGAACATATGATCATGAAACAAAACACTTAGTGAAATTTTGTCCTATTTTGGACAGGATTTTGACCTAACTTCATGGAACTTTTTCATATAGTTCCAAGAGGAATCTTCAAAAGCAATTGAAATATTAGTTGTATAGAAAATTGCAAGATTTCCAAAATGTCCAAGAACTCCTTGAGATTATTCTTGAGTAGGGAGAATCGAAGAGATGAAGTTGGTGTCTTGTCACTTGGATTACAAGCCATTTTGTGAAGAACACTTGGTCCAATCTTCAAGCATGATGTACAAATCTTACTTTGAAGGCTTCTAACTTGACTTTCGCTGCATAATTAAATGTTCTCACAACTGTTGGAAGCTTTAATCCAAGCATTCAATATATTGTACAAATATAATTCCATTTTGGGGAGAAAGGCAACATTGCCATTTTAGAAAAGCAAGCTTTATGCAAAGTCAGCTTGCATTGAGCCTTGCATTTGTTCTTTATTCACAAACACACTCTACACAATTAGAAAAAGTGTGTTTAAAGGTTTCAGCCACCCTACAAGCCTTGTACCTTACATTGAAACCATGCTTGTCCACTTTGCTTCAAAAACAAGTAACCAAGCCATAACATGTGAGTTTCAAATTCTGAGTTGTGACAAGGCTCAAAACCTCTTGCTTATAAGTATATACACTATTTGCAAGTTGATACATGAATGTTATTACCCTGAAACTACCTCAAACATCAAAGAACAAAAAACCTGCTCAAGAACACCATTAACACACAGTTCTGAACCAAAACTCATGATCTTCATTTCCACTCGTGCATTTTGAAAACTAATCACTCAAACACTTTTTATACCACATACCAAAGCAATCCATACCCTTGTTTCCTCACTGTAACTCCTTCATTATTATCCACAATTTTCAAATATCAAGCTTGCAGGTTGACTTGAGTAGAGAGATTTAGGGACTTTCAAGGCAAAGTAAGAATTGGAATATACTCAAGGAGGTCCAGGCAATCTAAACAGATCCTCAGGCCATCTCAAAAGTTGCTCAAACTCCATTCACGACTCCAACTGCAAGAGGTAAAAACTCAAACTTCTATCTCTTCCTACAAGCATCATTTGATCCTGATTTGTGAAAACAAAATGTAGATATCTTTGCTCTAAAGCTAACCATGTTCATGGTTTCCATTTATATTGACTGTGTATAGAGAATTTTGGATTTGAAATTTCTGAGAAAATTAGGTTTCAATTTAGGGCCAGCAAAATTAGTTTTTATCTTTGACATTTAGCTTACATAAGTTATATGGTTGAATTCGTGGGAAGAAACACCACAACTTTCATGTTTGAACTTTCTATTTTTGTGGAGAAATGAGGAAGATACAGGTGATCCGGCTAGGCTCAAGGTTAAAGACGAAGTTGCCTTCAGAAAGTAGTTTCTAATATATATTTATGCTTTGATTATATGACCGGATGAAACAACCACCCAAGTGGCAAGTGCGCACATACTAAGTCATATGTTACCTAAAGGGCGAGGGTTCAAACCAATGTGAACCCCCCTTTTGCATTTTTTTTCCATTTTTCTGATTTTTTTCTAACATCTTTTTTGCAAGCGCTGGGCCCTTTGGGCCTGGCATTTTTTTTTGATTTTGCTAGGATACTTCCCTGTTTACTTGTGACACCCCTTGGCCCATTTTATTTTTTTTATTTTTTTTTTCTTTTAAATATATTTTCTAAAATATAAAAAAAATCATATAAAGTATAAAAATAATAGATTTATATTTTGACATAATTTAAATATTTTTCCACATGAAAAACTTATTTTTATTCACTTATACTTTATTTATCTTTTATTAATTTCCTTGTAAGTTAAAAATAAAACTAGATTATTATTTATCTAAATATATTTATTTTAATATAAAAAGACCAAAAATATTTCATAACATCACATACTATTTTCAAGACAAAAATATAAAAATACTTTTTCTTTAAACTAATTTTCCTTTAATCAACTAAAATAGATTTAGGGTTTTATTCAAAAAAATCTTTTCTTGATTAAAATCTTTTCTTAATCAATTTCTTTTCTTAATTAACTTAAGTTAATTTAATTTAATTACCTTTTTTTTCTCTAATTAGATTTAGGTTAAAACCTCCTTCATACAAAAATCCAAACACAAAAATCTCTTCTTTCAATTTACATTTGTACTTTTATATATTCCTTCAATTATTTGTACAATATTCAATTTGGTTGTAGTAGATTAATTAGGTTTATATTATTGCAATCTCCATTCATAAATTGTATACCCTCCCACAAATGTTGTAATAACATAGTAACTTTAAATTTCGCAATTTATCGCTTTTACATAACATGCTAGTAATTAGGGTTTGTATGGGAAGATAAAATCAATCAAATAAAAAACCCTAATCCAAGACAAAAATAAGCATGAAAATAACACACTTCCACATAAGCACCCTTAGGGTAAAATCCACTTGGTTGCCTTACAAAATGGCCATATTACGCATGTAAGGTATCTTAGCAAAAACAAGCAAATACAAGATCATAGTCCCTCGATGACGCTATCTAAGTTGTCTTACAAATTATCTTAGTCCCTCAAAAAGAATGCTAAGATGCCTTGCAAACATTGCTACTCATGGCTATACGATGACCCACGCCCGTCCCGTTTACATCCAAAGATAGGGTTGCTTACCAAATCAATGGTAAGACAACAATGTCAAAGGAAAAGAAAATGAACAAGAAAGACTTTTGAGTAGGTAGAATGCTCCTAATTACTTGCTCCATTTTAAAACAAACATCCTTTCTATTTTCAAAA